AAGCCCGCTTTGGACTTGAGAGCAGAAAGAAGGCGCGTGAGCAGAAGTCCCCATTTGGCATCAAGCAACCCACCTCAATCAGTCGCTTGCCAAGGTCTCCGTAAGGCTCGCCTGAATTGTAGTCGTCTTCCGTCATGCCCACGGCGTCTAGAGCATGGCTTCTGAGCCGCCTCAGAGGGCTTTGCATATCAACGCTAGGCGCCACGTGATCGTTGTCGAGCGCACCATGGCCATCTAAAGCAAGTCTTTCCAGAAAGCGATCGAGCACGGAGAGCAGGCCAGGTCCTTAGTGCGAGTGTTTAGCGCATGAATGCATTCAGACAAAATACCTTACACTCACCATCGAAGAGAACATGATGAGATCTGATCAGAATCGAAAGAAGATCGGCTCTGCTTGACATGCTGACGATTAACTTGATCATGTACGAATCAGGCTCATTGACGCGACCTAATGGCAAGACGGTGCTCTGCTGGATTCTAAGATCTTCGATTGATAAATCTTCCCTTTCCACCTCCAGCGTCTGTTCCAGCCAATCTTTTCTGGCCCTGTCGGAAAGAGGCGTGAACTGCAGCCTGATGCTATCCTTGTCATCATGCGAAGACATCCAGCCAAACATTAGAAATCTTTCTCTCCGGTCCCTGGCTTGCATCGATGTATTCACCCCAATTTGAAGGCCTACGCTGGGCTCAGCAGGGCCAAAGGCATGCTCGTTGAAAGAGGCCAGAACAGACTCAAAGCCAAAGATTGTGCGCTCAAAGACTTGCCGTTCATGACTGGCCGTATCAACTGCTCGCCAGGGTGACAGCTTTGACCCCATGTCTGAATATTTTGTCCGCTTTCGTCGAGGGTCGGCTTGTGGCTTTCGTCAGAAGCTTCGGATTGATAACGGTGTTGGATCTCATGTACGGTTGGACCCATCTAATTGCATTTTTACGACAAGCACTGAGCACGACATACGAAATCTGCTGTGTGCAGAAGCTAGGCGAAAGGCGATATCATTTGAGATAACCTCGTGGTAGGTGCGCGCTGGCAGTCGCCAACAAGAGTCGACCCCGTGGCTCATTAATGCATGCTCGACTTTGAAGTGAAGGACATTCATTATACCAGCTTGCAAATTGCTGCCATGGCACGTCCACCATCCTCTCAATGCGGCAACTCTCCACACCCCTGACAGTTCGATTTCTCCGACAGCAACGAAGAAGATCACAGGAGATCGATTTCAAGTCAAGGGAAAGCCTGAGCACTTCTCTCGACTGAGCAGTTCAGGGATGGGGCAACATTCAGACTGGCTCGCAGGCCGGCCCAAAGACGCTCTTCTCTTTAAAAAAGTTTCGGGAGCAAAGATGGACCCGAACTCCGGGGAGTTTAGGGGGTGTTGGGTCTGTGCTTCAAGCTCTTACATGGTTTTGACGTCTGTCGTTGGCTGACAGAAGATGAAGAGATGGAAGTAATCGTTGGAGAGATCCTAAGACGAATGTGCCCTCTGCCCCCGTGGTGACGCGGGTTTGAAGCGTCATCATGTTCTCTCAGAGAATGAATAAACACATCGTCTCGCTTTTGCACCAGTTGGGACCGACAAGCGGTGTCGATGGCGACATGTGATTCAGTATTTGCTTTACGAAATGCAATAAAAGATAAGGCCCATGTTCCTATATTGTCTTTGGAATTTTATTCCCGTGCAGCTGCATGCTAACACTTAAGTTTGTAATTTGACAAGGGGTATTAGGAATTTGTCGAATACGCTCTTCAAGCGAAATATATTTTTCATCAGTTTATAAGAGGTGTTCGCATGGTAGTCGACTTAAATCTGACTATATATTCTCCACCTACGAAGAAGGCCGAAGCAGTTGCGCAAGAAGTGTTTGCGATTGTGTGCCGCCGGCATGATTGCCTTTGTGCTTATGCTTATGCAGGCTTCAGCCGGCCATCTTTCATTACATCTCAAGGACGCAAGTGAGTGGACACAGCATGCAGTCACCACGTCAGTGCATGTCATGCCATTAGCACTAGATGATCTGCATGGAATCATTTCCACATCAACCATCTAGATGCCGCATCATTGCAACATGCAACAGGGGAGGCGCTCAGACGGTGGATTGACCCCTTGATACATACGCACGACTGTGGTAAACCTTATCGAGATTTGTGTTGAGAATGCGAAGAATGATGTTGTGACGAAGACGTGAAGCACAGCGAAGGGAGCACCTCTCGCATAGCTTGCAAAGCCTATGATCCCTTCTCTGTCTCCTTTTTGGATGAAGCGAGCGCTTCGGCTGAATTCTTTGATCTCTTCTAACACTAAGGCATCCCAATGACAGTATGGAAGCCCAATGTTAGCCACTAAAGAGAGATGCCGGATCTTCTTACCAGCACGTGCCATGCTCTTGAAGTAGCCCCTTGCTTCGATAGACCATTTCCCTAAGAAGCAAGTTGCGCTAAATCACTCCTAAGTCTTTATAAAATCAGCTGCCCCATCTTCCTCTGAACGTCATCGACTTATCAAAGTGCTAACGAAAAAGCTTCGGTCACTTGAAGAAGGTCTTGGTGACCGAGGTGCAGCAAGTCCTGACGAATTTATTATTTGGGAGAGAAATGTCTGTGCACATGCCAGTGGAAGTAGCGTGCCGTGAACCACGCCACATGCTGCATTGCTAGTCACTGAAAGCGCAAAATAATAGCCACAAGATGGTAAGTTGTTCGGCACGACGACACGGTCATTCGAGAAGCGATTGCGTGTCCAGACGACTTACCAAAGCCCGGTACCTCAGCATCTGCGTTCTCGGGCTGCTCCAATTGAATCCGACTTCGACCAGTTTCGTCCAGCTTCGTGGCATGCATAAGAACAAACGAATTATTATATAGCCTAATGATGTCGCTACCGAGTCTCCCGCCTCCCCTCTTTGGCTCGTCTGCTCTTGCACGCCTGGTTGCCGAATAGCTCGCAGATAGAGTAGTGGGCTTGCGTGCCTGCCGCTTCAACAGACTCATTTCTTGCATCTTCGGTGGACGCACGGAAAAAGCAGAAATTGATCAAGTCTTCGTTTCATTGGCCATGCCCCCCGCCAAGCAGTGCACCCGAGCAGCCTCGACAGACACTCGATTTTCATCATGATCGACATTCACCTGTGCAACGATCATGCAAACTCACGGTCTTGCACAATTCGTGCTGTGTGTACGCGCTCCCCACACGCACTATGTCCACAGCTTGCCCAGTACCAGTATATCGAGTTTGTGGTTCACGCAGGGCAAGGAGAGCATAGACCATTTGGAAACACATGTGCAGCTCTGGTCCACTTTCACCCCGACAATTTTGCTTAGCGATACGCGATGCTCTTCAGAAACAAGAGAGTTTTTTGAGTGGCTTCATTGAAACAGAGCAGGCTGTTCAGCCCTTCATCCTCTGGACACTGTCACAGCTGTCCACAGCTGCTGATTCCACTGGCGTTTGAAAGACTGATGTGAAGGCTCCAGCATTCTGACTGCCGAAGGCGGTCGGGACATCTTCAGTCATGTCGTATCGGGGACGTCCCTGCGCTTTTGCCAACGAATAGACCTTTCTCCGACCAGTGTACGCTGTCGAATTTGTCGACTCTGACGTCAGATCTTCCCGAGTGAGAGCTGAATCTCAGCGTGTACACAAAGCATTGGACCGTTTTCTACGAAAAAAAAAAATCTGCGAAACTAGAGAATCTGCGGAAAAGATGGCGAGCCTATTTAATTATCTACAGCTCTCACGACGCGAAACCCAAGTCGCCATCATTTCCAAATCAGGTTTTTTTCGGCATCGCCCCGCTTCTTTGACGTCGAAATAAACAGGGAGAATCCAACAGGATAAATTTTTTGCTGCAAGATTGTGTAAATTGGAGGTATTACTCAGTGACCGCCAAATGTTTGCTGTTTTGCTGTAGTGTGCCCCTTTTCCATTTTCTCCTTCGTGTAAGAAGGCCATTCCAGTCAAGATGCCCATAACGGTAGATGCAAGCATCTCCTCTCGTTGCCACTCGGGCTGGAAGCAGCCAACAGTCCAGCTGTCATGAGATTTATCCGGCGTCAGCATCTGGCAATTAGGTGTTAGTCAATTACTCTTCAAGCCAAAGCTCTCGCACCTCTCCCGCTTCATTTTGACTGATCAAAGCTAGCCAGGAAGAATTTCCGAGAATTGTCATGGAGCACATGCCTGCTCAAGTCGACTACGATCGAATCTGCTACTCGTTCGTCAATGTAAATCTAGCAGGCCACAGATTGTTTAAAACCCTGCGATAGTATAAGCTGGGACATGCGGATGTTTCCGACTAGGCTTTCTCGAGCAATCCGCGCTCCTTCGCCTCGTGAAAAATGGAAGTAGCAGATCTCCATATTCTTCTTCTATTCCTAATCGAGCATGTCGGCGACTGCAGGCAAGCTTTCATATGAGATAGCCAGATCGATCCTTTCTTACTCTATACAGTAGGTCAGCGTCAGAAGATGCGTTCGGAATATCACTAACCTGCTCGTCGTTTGTCTCGGTGCGAGCAACTTGTCGAGATTCCCAGTATCGCAGCTCACGCGGTGTGAACGGGAGCATCCAAGGATGCAGTTGTTCCATTTCTCGTCGTGCAACCTCGTCAATCCTCGAAGCCACAGCTTCTCTGATCGTCTTGCTCGTCGTTGCGAAATGAAGAGCGCTACGCACGTCGATACGATCGACGATACGTTGCATTATTTCTATGGGCAAATCATCGAATAACGATCCGGTTCGAACCTCTTGACCACGACGAAAAGAAGTAAATGCGCCAAGAGGATACTCTAGGAGCTGGACCCTGTATAAATCATTTCAAAATTTCGATTTCATGAGGTGGTGCTATGTCTTCCGTCTTACCTGTCAGGAGGCTGCCAAGCCCACGCCTCGGAGATGTCTCGAATCTCGTCTCGAATGACGAGGTCGACGCCTTGCCCAGCGATAGAGCGCTTCACGGCGGCAGACAGTCTCTCTTTGAATTTGTCCCGTCTTTCGTGCAATGCTCCCAGTGGTCTGGCCCACTGTTCGTGCAAGTGCTCTACTTCGACATGATCAAGCCATTTGAATGACCGGCATGCTGCTTGCTTTCCACGTAATTGCGCTTGACATGCGATCGCCTTGGTCCCCACCAACCAGAATGCTCTAGGTGTCATGCACCCTACGTGACCAGTCTTTTGAGAGTAGGCTATCTCAACACCCTGTAATAGTTCCCAGCAGCGGGAATGAACGAGAAAGCCTCCTACACAGGCAGACACCTCGAAAGAATGCGATCCTAGTCGGGCCCAGTCTGTCTGAACCTCATCGAGGTCAACGGTCCTTTTCGCGCCGCCGGGCACTCTGTACACCGACTTGCCTGGCTTTCTTATGACGTAACGGTCGTCAAAGGCCTGATGATATGCCAGTCCACCGATCAGACACACATTCTCCGCACTGGAATTGTCGCTGGATAGGCTGGTGTCGAGATCTATCTCCTCGAATATTTCCGCGCCATTTTCTTCTATCCCTGGATATCGACCGATGGCGGCAAGGTCCATGTGGAATTCTTGACAGGCACCGCTGTCGACGAAGCTCCACGATGCTTTCTCATCGTTGTCATTGGGTCGGAAGAAGCGCAAGTCATTATCGTAGACTTGCGTTCGTTCTGCATAATCAAGGATGAGAGTCTGCTCGAAAGCATCGACAATGGCCGGAGTCAGACCACAGATCTTTGTGTATGACAGAGAGTAAGCGAGGCATCAATCATGGGAATGATTGAGGATGCTCACCACGCATATTTCGTCCCAGCCCATGTTGTGCCAAAGATGTTTCGTATAGAGAGAGAGGCCTTCTCAGCCAAGTTCAAGAGGTTTTATTGAGCAAGCGCGATTGTGCTCAGCTTCCTCACAGCTTCTTGCAAGTGCTCCGATTAATATCAAATTTCAACGATTACACCCACACGTCAACTCGAGAGAAATCATTCTTAAGAAGGCTTCCAAGAAATATATGAATTAGCAAGCTGCCATCTCAAATCCCACAGTTTACAAGAAACTATGACGCCTGAATAAGCACGTGTCATATTTCATCCAGACTCCGCATTGCACAGCATCATCATGGTTAGCGCGTCAATCGGCTTTGCGCCTCAAAGGTGAAGCCAAGGATAAGTCAGGAAGGCGCGATTTCGTCGATCCAGACGACGATTCATCGGTCAGTAATTCGTCCAGGCAAAGCTCGGTTCAAGTGAGTCAATACTGTCTCTGAACTGTTTCCATCCACTGACATGCACATCAATAATGCGCCTTTGATGTCTTAGAATCAATTTCGCAACCTCCTCAATGGCAGAGACAATTGTCACTGCGTGGCCACAGGCCAAATTGATGTGTTTGGGGCCAACATCGAGGCTTGTCACATTCTCCCCAAGTCAAGAGGGGATGAAGTGAGAGAGACGACAAGACCATCCTTATTCTGGCTTTTTTACTTGACTAATGTCCTCTTTTTTCCCGACAGCTCATCCGAGAAGTATCGGGCGACAGCACTATGAGCGTTGACGACATCACGAACAGGTTCATGCCTTGAGAACGCTTCACAAGACTTTCGACCGCTTCGAATGGAGCGTGTGTGTGGAAGTGAGATGAGTCGAGAAAAAGGCCACGAGAGGCTGTTGTCAGAAGTTCGTGGACGATCGGTGACTGACCTCTTCCGACATTTTTTTTTGCGATAGGGAGACTCATTCACAATACACTCTTTCGTCGACAACATATGCTTCAAGGATGCCCATGGAAGGCGGATGTTCCAAGCTGAAGGCGAAAATTCCGACGCTCAGGCGTCAACCCTCTCTCTTTTTGAGTCAAGCTCTCAATGGGATAGTAACTCATAAGAATGAGCTTTTGCTGATGTTCTCCTCAGCTTACATGGCACTATGAACAGTGCGTCAAGGCCAGGCTACGTACGTCCCCACACTGAACACTTTCGATCAGTCCCGGAATTATACTCTTACACATGAAGGAAATATGTGTCCCAGATCTTGCCCAATTGAGGATATGATCTAAGAAGGTTGAAGCGAGCTTTTCCCGTCGTGATACTTGGAGAGCCGCAGAAGAAAGGTAAATTGCCGTAACTCCTCAGCCCACGGCCCACTGCTGTCCTCCAGAGGAGACTGCTAACTTTCACAGGCGATCTTCTGCAAAGCGATTTTGACTAGCAAACTATCTTACCCCACCTTACCAGTGCGGGAATCGGAAAACATCCGCTTAGTACCGCTAGCAGTGCCGTCCTTTATCGGGTGTCACTCAGGAGCGCGCCACGTGTCGTTATCGAGGATCCGAGGTATCTCCCGTTTCATCAACAACACACACGACAGACAAAAAAGAAGAATTGCCTTCGTCGAGCGCAGGAAGATAGTCTTTCGCTTGACTTGCTCACCATTGGAGGTTTCAAGTCGCGATGAATCACCGCAACTTGGTTGTCTTAACCTTCATGAAGGTAGTGTAATCCAGCACAGACTTGCGCAAAGAGATTTCGCCGGAGCTCAATGCTGTCGCTCGCCAATCGACCATCTTTCTCAACCTCATGAATGAATGACAGAAAAACGAGACTCACCTAGCCTTGTTCCTCTGAGCCAGAAACATTTCTAGGTCCCCATAAATTCCTAGGTCCATAAGAAGATGCAATGAGCGTTCGGTCCCAGTGCCCGAGTAAAGCGATGACGTTGCTATGTGCCAATTTTGAGTGAAGTGCTGCTTCTTGAGCAGCAATCTTTCGTCGCTCGGCATTGGTGCTGACCGTGACGATCTTCAGAGCGAAAAGCTATGATTTCTCTGGTTGAGCGAAACTCGTTTCTGACTTGTTCGGTGCACAATAAACGCACCTTTTTGTCCGAAGCTTGCTCTACTTCGTAGACTTTGCCAAAACCTCCTTTGCCAAGCAGACGACGACCGAGGTAGAGAGGTTTCGCTTGCAAGGTGCCAATGTTCATGCTGGTGCCAATGTTCATGGTGTTACGAGGATAAGGTAGTACGTGAAACATATGTGTCTAAAATTGAGACAGTCAGGCTCCGAGCTACATTCTGAATCTTTCCAGGCAAGCCATTTGTAGTGTAGGACGATTTGCTCATCGTGATGAGGGGCTGATCTGATCAGGGCGTGACACCTTGTAGTCACGTGCCTATGGCAAGAAAAGACGCCGGCTGTCGAGCAGCGTTAGAAATTACGGTTTCCAGCTCTGGGACCTTTGAACGGAGAACGGTCTATTTATACTGCCTCTTACGTATGCAGTGATTGACAAAGTGTACAACCTCAAAACTTGACCTTCGTTTCTGTGTTATAATATTAGATACTTTTTAGAAACAAAACGCGAAATGATTCAAATTTACGTCTGGGGACTGTGGAAGACTCAGATCCCTTTGTCCAGATCGTTCCCTTTGTGTGATGGCACCTGGCTATAATAGAGGAAGATGGCTCCGTGTGGTCTTACATCTCGATCATCTTCACTTCAGCAGACTCGACAGGTCATCGATGTCAGACGCCCCAATCGAGCTCGCACTACCCACGGAGCCCGAGCTTTTACGGATTTCAGGGATCGAGAACTTCGTTCAATCGGCCAGAGAGTATATGGATCCCGGAGAAAGGAAGAATGATCCGACTCACGTAGCAATCATTTATCGAGCGTTTCTTGAGGCACTCGCCCGGGCACAACTTCAAAGCTTGGACAAAGCCCCAGACCTCTTCTTCTCTTTTCGGGGAAAGGAATTTGTGGTAAGTCAGAAGAAGAGCTTTCTTCAGCTAAAAATTGTAGTCACCGTTGAATCTCTATTCAGGTGAAAAATATCACAAAAGACAACAACGACAAAGCTCACCGAAGATCGAAGCTTCCAGCCTCAGAGAAGAAGGCTCTTGCTGAGCGCCATGAGCGACGGCTTCAGCAACTCATGGGTGAATTATTGGACAAGCCACGAACACAAGTCGTACAGTATCCTGCATCGGGAATGAGGAGAGAAGACTGGACGCAGACTGCAATTTCCACGAGCGATCTCTTTAAACATTCTTCTCGCTTAGATAGGTCAAGCCGTGTCTCTCATGCCTTGCGAAGTCTTGGTCATGCTGAGAGTCAGCATTACGGTGCATCTCAAGACGTAAACTCGAAGTATTTCGAATTTGGACAGGCTTACGCGGATTTAATCGTGTCGTCCGCAACAAGCTCGCTCGATTACGTCGCAAGCAAGGCCTTCCACGACGAAGCGTATCCAGTCCTACTGAGGATTCTGCAGAATCAACGAAGTGAGCCTGCAAATTATGCAGGACTTCGAAAACGCGCCGAGCGAGCAAGAAAGTTTTTTATCATAGCGCACCTGTTTGGAATTTCGATTCTCGAGCGCGCAGAGCTAATCAACGTCACGAAGATCGACACCATCACCTTCGCCATGCTCTCGTCGATTATGGCAAATCATATGGACATGGTTCAGCAAATCAAGCAGATTCACTAAACAGGCCAAGATTGATTGGCCAAGCTCCCAACTCTTTGTCCACTTTTCCTCGAGTATTTCAGTTTCACTATGGCCATCACTGTCCTTTTCTCGTGACTTGAGCTTGCAGCTTTTCTTTGGCTCCCGTCTGACGTGGACCATGCCATGATGTGCTGCTGGAAGGGACTTTACTCCTGTCCGTTGCAAATGTTGTGTCAACACACTGGAAGCGATCGAAAGGACAATGATTAAGATAAGAGCGTGAGCAAAAGGGATTATAGAATGAGGTTAATGATGGGAATAAGTAGTGGGAACATTGGGAATAATGGGAACATTGGGGACGTTGGGAATAATGGGAGCATTGGGAACATTGGGAGCAATGGGAACCATGGGAACCATGGGAACGGTGGGAACACGGGGAGCAGTGGGAATAAAGATTCTGCAAGCCTTTTCTCTACATTTACTCGGCAATGTGGGTGACAAATGAAAGTAGGACCCGTCAAAAGCTTTCTTTCCATGTCGACGAAGGCTCTCTGTCTTTTATTTGAAAATCTGAGTGTTTCACTCATAAGCGTAGGGGAATTTGGCGTCAAGCCAAAATGCGGTCCGACTTATTGATACTGAAAATATTCTCAAACCCCGGAGACGGGCCCGTTCCTGAATTTTGCTGAATATTGCTTAGTGACAGTGAATTTTCAAAATTCTTTCGTCTCTTAGAATGACGCTCATCGAGACAGTAGTCCACAGTGTCAAAGGACAAGCTTTTGAACATGAGCTTTTGAACATGGTTCCGAACTTTTCTTGAGCTCACAGTCCCTCTTCGGACCTCTCAAGGACCATCATGCGCACAGAACGAGATCTGCTTGTCTAAACGCTATGCACGAGCCTAATTGTACCGTGGACTGCGAGGCTGTGCCACCAATTCAGAGCACTTTTACTTTGACGGCACCTGTTCGCTCTAGCTCTGAGCCATGGTCGCAGCAACAGCAGGACACAGCGTCTGTCACAGCATGGGTAAGCTCCTCACATTGGGCGAGGCTGTTCGTACATGGTCTTCGGATTGCTCAAATTTGAGTCAAATCGCAACCCGAATTTGTGTGCCGCAATATACGCTCAGTGACTGACAAAAAGTTCTGCAGACGATGGCAGCCCACCGTTACCAAAAAATGAAATTTACAATAGAGTAGCCCGCCGAGCACGTGTACGAACACTTCGCTTTCCTCTACTTTTCTCCCAATGAAGCTCTGAGAACGCTTTCCTCTGCTTCTTTCCCAATGAAGCTCTAAGAGCGTACAACATAACAGAGTGCGGTGAGCTATTTGTGGTGCGGAAGATGCACATTGACGATGTCCTTTTCTGACTCAGGGAGAATTTGCAAGGAGCGTGATTGAAGATGCTTGAAAATAGGAAAGTTAGTGAAATCAAAGTGGCGAGAGCCACCACAGCAGCAAGATACTCCTTTGCCGTAGTGCCTTGCACAGTGAAAGTACGAGCTCAAGTCAAAGAGCCTAGAGGGCTCGTTGGATGATCTCGCTCGCGCTCTGCTCGGCGAAAAGCTGGAGAGCCGCACATCTACAACAAAAGTTCCTTGAACTTGTCGACAGCCGGCACCATGACGGAGCCATTCTTCGTGTGTCTTTGGCGAGACTTTCGGACGCGAATGGCAATACTCTCTAGCTCACAACCAAAGTGCTCGTAGAGAAGGTCGGCGGACGCGGAAGTGCCATATGAGTGCATGCCGACTGACGCGTGGGCGTATTTGGCCCAGCCAAAGGAAGACCAAGCTTCGGTGGCCACGACGAGCGCGCCAGCGGTCATCGGCAGCACTTCCAACTTGTACTCGGCTGATTGCTGATCAAAGAAGAGAGCCTGACAGGGCGTGGAAATTACCCTCGTTACGCACGCGTCGGAGGTCAGCACCGAGGCCACCTCGATTGCGAGATGCACTTCAGAGCCCGTAGAGATTAAAATGAGGTTCGGCATGCCCTTCAAAAGGGGTATCCGCCTCGCGCGACCCCCTCTCGAGACGTCTGCTCAAGGAGGAGCATCGCCTGCCTGCTGAGCGAGAGCAGTGATGGCACGTTGGCCTGTACCGCCGTCGTCCAAGCGCCCATGACTTCCTCGGCATCGGCAGGCCTCAGGTAGTTGATGCCGGACATAGCACAGAAGAAGCTTGCGAGCGCAATCGGGCGGTAATTCGGTGCGTCTTCATTTATGCCAATTCTGTTGGGTGGCAATAGAAGGACTCGGAGGCGCTGGAGAGCAGCCATTCGGACGGCAGGCGCCGCGTAAAGAAGGAACATGAAGAAGGTTGACACCACGGGGAGGATCGCGTTGGTATGATAGGTGGTCAATCCGTTGGCGACGACAACCATGGCGAGCTCGCGAATCCCGTAATTGATCTGTCGGCCAGCGAAGCTGCCGTCCTCCCCGGATTTGGAGAGGTCAGGAGACCGAAATGTCATGGAGAGAACCTTGGACCAGGCCACAAACGTCGAGTCCATCAGATCGGCGGACTCGGCCATAAATTGGGGCAGCATCAGTCCCTGCTTGGCAATGACAATACCAGACGCCTTGCGCGTTGCAAATTCACTCCTGCGGAAGGACTTGCTCGGTAGGGAGGAGAGCAGTGCAGTTGACATCGCGACGGCCATTGAAGCGCTATTGAAATTTTAACGCCAGCGCAGGGTGAGCCGCCATGTAGCGTTGAAAAGTCTCTTGCTACTGCCGCTGGATCTCAACGCCACAAACCTGATGGGCTTGAAGGAGTCATAGACTCGCTCATCCAATACGTACTTTTGCGAGGGGTCCTGCTTGTGTGCCTTTTTGACCCGCTCCACCTCAGCGTCTCCCAGCGCAGATCCGTGCGCTGCTGGAAGACCTGCACTCTCCGACATGATTCCGTTAGTGGTGCTGGTGTTGATAAAGATTAGCTTGTCTGCCACGCTTGCTTTGCCCTCTTGCATTGCCTTTTGTATAGCAATAGGGTCGTCGGTAGCGTCGTGCCCAACATCAATCACGTGCCACTCCAGTGCAAGGAGCTTCGCGGAGGTGTCCTCGGTGAAACATGTGTCGATCTTGCTGTCGATGGACACGCCATTATTGTCGTACGAAATACTGAGTCTATTGAGTCGCAGATGGCCCGCCAGGGAAAGAGTTGCGCGCTTGAAAGCAAAGTCATTTTTGCTCGAGCAGAGAGGCTTGGACACAGTTCACCTTCCTGGCCAACGCCCTCCCGCAGGTATCCGTCTCCGGTCATGCACCACACTTTGTTGTTAACAATCTCGAATCCTTCGACGTTGACTTTGTCCCCGAGATGCTTGCTGGCCATGGCTAAACTGGCTGCGCTGGCAAATCCCTGGCCTAGTGATCCCGTGGTCACCTCGATACCCTCGAACTCAATTTCGGGATGGCCTGCAGCCTGTGAGTGGAGAAACCCCTGCGTGTGATAGAGCTTGAGCATGTCCATTGTCCATTTTTTGTAGCCGACGAGATGTAGGAAATTGTATTAGAGCAAGCTGGCTTGCCCTGCCGACCTGTGTTACGGTGCTGGCCCCTGGCGCCAGCCAAGATCGCTGCGGAGACACATAGATGGTAACTCACAAGAAAAAAGGTCCCGGTCGATCCACTCGGCGTCGGTGGCTTAAAGTGCAAGGTGTCTTCGCCACCCCACAGCGCAAGGGCGGTAGCAGCGGCGCCCATCACCGTGCCAGGATTGCTATTGCTGCACGAGACCGACGCCCAAACAGCGGACGGTGCCAAGTATGAGCTCGGATTTGGACAAGGACCGCGATGTTGGCCTTGGTGCTTGGTAGGGGCGATGGTAATCGGTCTGTCCGCCGGGACCTCACTGTGACTAAATGAAGGGCCATACTCTTGCGCGAAGGGGCAGCATCTTAGTCATGTACCCTGCTTAATTGCACGCCTTTTCTTGACCCTCGCCGTCTCCTCACTCCCAGCAAATTCCTGAGCCAACATGTCGTCGCTCTTAAGATTGTTACCAATGCTGAGCAACCAAAGAACGCTACTCAAGAAGCTGCGCTTCACTCAAAATTGGCACACCGCAACGTCATCGACTAATTGGGCATCGGGAAACTGGAGGTTCATTGCATCTTTTGATGGAGTTCAGTGACTTATTATTCACAAAAATGCAGCAACGTAGGTACAGCCTTAGGGTCTTTCTTTCAGAATGCTAAAAAAACAGTTGATGGACGACAGCCTGGAGCTGCGACGATTGCTCTTTGCACAGGTCTGCGCTGGGTTACATTACCTTCATGAAGGCCAAGACAATCATGAGTCGGTAATCAATCGCGACTTGAAACCCTATAATGGTGAGCAAGTATATCTACGGTGGTCACTCGCAGATCACCGTAGATGTGGTGACGAGACTTGCAAGAGTCAAATTTGTTCATGGCATTTGCTTGCCAGTTTTGATCGAACACACTTTCCGTGCGAAGTTCGCCAACTTTGCATGGGCGATCGTGCGCGACAAATATACGAAAGGACGTTGGGGCATCGCAGGTTTGAGCCTATACGTCCCTAGCCCTATCGTACCGCGCATTTGCGCTTACGGCATACGCTTCTCGTTCATTAATGCAGACGCCTGGCTTCCGATCGCCAGTAAACAGAGCATGTACGCATATGAACACGAGGTGTGACAGCTTACATGGTCCCGAATCTTTTTTCGTGGATGTTAGGAGATGCTGAAAGACGAATAGTACGGCGTGAAATTCGACTTAAGGCCTCTCGGATGCCTTTTCCTTTTTCCAGGTGCTTCCTATCTACCTATTTTACAGCTGCGATTCTTCTCGATTTTCCTTTCTAGGCCGAACACTGTGCATTCACAGAACATAGACGTTAGTGCTCAAGCAAATGCGCAGCAATTCGAAGCACTTTTGTGGCTGTCAGTGGGCTTCACCGAAGTATGAACGGCGGCTGACAAAGGTCTCATGGCGCTTCAGAAAGTCATTGGACGGCGACATGACTGACACAGACCTCCGGCTCAGGAGCGTTCGGAATAGAAGCACAGGTAGGGTGAGGCTCAGAACAGGGACGAGCTCAGAAGATGGAGCCAGAGGTGAGATGATCGAGTGAGGGTGAAGTGGAATTCATTTCCAGTAGAAGAGATAAGAGCGATAGGAGGTACTGTCCTGGCCCGTGGCCTCTTTCAGGGCCTTGATCCGCGTTCTGGATGGCTAATTGTCTCAAACCATTTGACAAGCGCTACTACGAAGACGATAGGATTTTCGCATCAGATGCAGACGTAGCGTTGAAAGTCTATCAGCTTTGAGGAGTTTTTTTCTTTCTCGCAATCAAACACCTCGGCGTAACGGAAAGGAAAAGTTGTTTCAAGTCGAGTCTGCTGCCATTACGGCGGCACAGCGGCACCACCGCAGCGAAGTCAATGAGCTAGTGCTACTGCCACAATTGCCACTTGGCGAATGATTCGAATGATGCGCAACGCGCGAGTTTTGTGTCTCGTAAGCTGCCGGTACAGAAGATCTTTCCACCTCACGTGAATTGCGGTTAAACAGTTCCCGCCTTAGAGAATGAACGTGGTTGCCTTCCTCACTCCTCTCCTTTTGAACGAGTTGACCCATTTCGAAGTCATTTAGCTTCACGTAGCAATCTTCGTTACTTGGACTTGTGATTAAGATGAGTATAATCAAGTGCAGACCCGAAATGCTACTTTCACGTTTCAAAATCTACTTGAGATATACGGAAATCTCGAGGAAACATGGCGCGATGATCACGTCAGAAGCTCTTGTCAGGAAGTTTTCTTCGTTCCAGAGATTCGTTTAGAAAAGGCTAAACAAAGAGTTAAAAAAATCAATGCCCTTATACCGTGGAAATTGTGCTTTGGTGTGTCGTCGTCATCCATGAGAGAGGAAATTTTGCTAGGAAATCGTTATTTCTGGAACCTGTGACCTATTCTCAGGGAAGGCTCGCTAAGTGAGATGAGCTGCTCCATCGGGTTGCTTAACAAAATTGCGTTATCGTACTGATGCTGTGGGTGTGTCGCAGAACGTCAACTATGTGGTGATCCCCCTTGGCTTCCTCAATGCGATTTTCCTCACCAAAGCTTCACTGTGCGTTCGCCAAAGGCTCCTCTGAATGGGTTTAAGATCTATCGCTTGACATGGAAGAAAAGTGCGAACACGGATCTAAATCGATTTATTCAATACAGGGGTAAGAACTTGTAGCAGAGAAAGATTAATTAGTCCATAATGACGCAAGGAATGAAAGACATCGTTAAAGTCTCGGCCAGCTCTTTGAGAAGGGTTAGCGCACAGTCTGCTTCCGCGGCGACCTGATCTTCGGCTCGGAGGGGGAGTCTGGCTCGTCAAAGCTGGTGGAAGCCGCCATTCTGTAAATGGATGTGATAACGGCGTTAGCAGAGCCTGCGATGCCACGAATTTTGGCGGCGGTCGAGAATAGTAGCGAGCATGGAGTGCTGCTTGAGAGACGGAGGTCTCAGGTAGACTTCCGTGCTGGTGGGTTCTAGCGCAGATTGGCGCCTATGAGCTCGTGTAGCGTGGCCTCATTCACCACTCGCGTCGCATCTACACTCTCGCTTATTGCAAAAAGCACTCATCGGATTCAAAAGTTTTGGATAGCTTTCTCGTCGAGCTGACTGCCGCTCTGAGGGGTGTGTATGAGGCTAATTGAGCAAAGTCACAAAGGACTCAGCCTCAGCAGCATTGTTGCAGGCTCGAAGTCGGTGAGGGAAAGAGATCAATGCATTATGGGTGCTGCACTTTCTTCTGGACAGGACGTTCCAGAGGGTGTAAAGAGAACGATGGCCCTTTATAAGAGATTAAACCCTGAAGAACCTTTTGTTACAGAGCTTTGAGCGCAGGAAAGATTTTAATATCTCGTAGCATGAGACTGTTACGGCAATCGCTTGGAGAGGGCCTTATTTTCTTGTGATCGATCGCTTAGCAGATGCGCTGCAATGGGGCGACCGTATGTGGAATGCACCACAGCATCCATACTTTGAGCTCGAAACTATCTTCGCCCTGTGCCGATTCATTGGCAAGCTTGATAGACAGAAATTTGATCATCGACATCAAGGTCCTGCAAACAGTCCTCGGAAGCTGGTGACAGTGGTGCGTCGATTGCTTATGCCGAATGATTTTTTTTTATCATTCCTTTGAGCTAACCAGAATTTTACACCTTTTCCACTCTCCCCACAATCTTCTTCGTGATGGGATGGAAGAAGTTCAAGCTAACGTCTGAGCCACAAATGCTACCAGACATGATCATGGACAGATAGTTTTTCTCAATCGAAGCACTGATGCAGCCCGTTTTGCCTTATGCTTTTGGCCTCAGACGTCGCGTCACTGTCCTTTCCGACTCTGTCCATCCTTCCTCATCACTACATCAAAGTGCAGCAAGCTTTTCTTTGCTCTTGAGCTGTGACAGACAGCCTTCAACAAACTCTATCAGATAGACACGTTGCTTACTAAGCTGTTGCAATTGACTGAAATAAAGCTGCTCATATGCGCGTAACCTTCCCTTCGTGCTAAGCCTTGCGTAACCTTCATGTCTCTACATCCAGCTCGAGAGGATCTAAGGGAGCAAAGGGGCATAGTTAGGCTGCGGTGCCATTCTTATTGTTGAGCATGCCTCTTGCATAATCCACTAATAAAATTGCAAGACAGAGAGCAAGAAGAAGTTGATTGAACAGGAGTAGACAATGCGATTGGCTGCCCAACCTCGCAAGTCTTCCGCAGACGAACAATCGTGAAACGCATCCTTCCTTTTCCCAAACTCTGATGATCTATTGAAGTCTTTGGGTATGTGCACGCCTGCGTTGGGCTGCTTTCCTGCTGGATTAAACCTTTTCTTTTGCTCAAAAACGAGCGCGAGATGAACAGAGAGCCAAGAGATCCAAAGCAGCGATGAGAAGGTGAGAAGGACTAAGGTGAGCTCTCCACCGCTGTCGACAAGCTCAGAAAGTCTTGCCCAGGGCCCTAGAAGCAAGGGAAGCTGCATCGAGGCTGCGAGGTGAACCGAAATGCAATCCAGGATGCAGTCGCTTCCGTCGCCCTCCGCCCTGATGCTGCGCGCTTGCAAACATAGCAGAGCGATCAGAGCGTAGCATCGAATTGTCGACATGAGCGAGTCCGACATCGGTATATCGATACTCACACTTAGAGCGCTAAGTGAAAGAAGTGACCATCTCGCGCAGCTAATCGCCTTGTGCGGACTCTTCTTGTGCACGCTCCGCTCGATAACTGCAGCGATCATAAGCGCAGAAGTGATTGCAAGGATGACGACCGCTGGGCGTTTGTCTTCGCCAACAACCTTGGCATACGAAGGGAGCTGGTCCAGGGGCCAACGAAGCACGAGCGATCCCACCAAAATTTTCGAGAAGACATTTCGGAGGACTTTGGTGTCCATCTTAGTTGCAGTATTGAGCTGAAGTGATCCGCAAATGCCCCTGAAGATGTCCCGCCATCATAAGAATCTTATGTCAGCATGCCGGCCGAGTCATTCTGCGCACGTGCGCTTTGCTGGAGCCTCGTTCAAGCTAGGAAGAATTTCCAGAGCGCCAAAATTATCGGGAAAATCTAAGGTATTATACTCTTCATTAGTCCAATCTGCATCATTCATCTTGTAAGTCATTTCCAAATTACTGGGTAGCGGTAGTGTAGAATAGAAATGAAAAACGCACACGTGATGAACGTGAGCTACCCCTTTAGATTTTCGGTGAGGCTTCCGTACTTGCCGTCAAGACGTAACGACGAACGTATCGCTCCTGAATATGGTGCTGCTAACCGAAAGCTTCGGCGAGCACCGAAGCTTGTCTGCAAACAGGATCTCTCTCAGAGAATGTGCAATTGAGTATCGTTCCTCCCCTGAAAGAGAATGCTTGGGTTCGAAATTTCCTCCTTCTCGGAGAAGAGCGACACATGCGCGGCAAATATTCGTCGCTGAGGAGAGATGAAGGCTTCCGCGGATGGCGCGGACTTCTCGAATATTGTGTAGCCATGCCGACGATGTAAGTGTGTCGCCTAATGCAAAGTATGTAGGGCTTTCAGCGTTGCTCTCTTGCTTGGCCTTTCCTCTCGCCAGATTTTCATTACGCGTTTGCCGACGGCTTTTCTAATGGACTGGACATCCATCGCTTAACACAGAAGAGAAGAGTGCAAAGAGCTTGTTTATGCCAACTCCGTCTTGAATTCGAAACGGTCGGTCCAGCATCGGGGTGGAATCTGTAGCATGTATTGGGTGAATTTACATCACGAGTCTACACAGACGTGACGATTCGCTGCTACTAAGTGTTCTTGGTACACCGTTGCAACAGATTACAATTTCGCAAATATCATGCGCTTTGTGTTCTACCAAATTTGGATTTGCCTGAACGCTAACGAATCAAGTCGCCTTCCAATGCTGCTCTTCAGGCTTCGAAGTGACGCTAACCCTTACCCAGCACTAGTACAAGGAGCGCATGCGTACCTCTCTTTTGATGAGACTCATCAGCTTCTCGGTCTCAGCAGCCGGAAGGCGAAGGGGCTTCGTCTCCAAAAGCACCTCAGCTCAAAATCAATGGTGATCGCGAGCACCGATAATTCAAAAATAGCATTGTCCCCTGCACTCAAAATTTTTCCGAATCCAAATCGCCTTCTCGGAGTCGAATCCATCCACCGTTGTCATGAAAAGCATCGCCTACCACCACCAAAGATTCGGACAAATCAGCAGATGGCGCAGATGTACCGACAATTCTCAAAATGTCAAAAGTCGTATCTCCTTGCATCCACTCAGGCCTATGGACAGACGATGTAGAAACGTACTTATGTGTCGCCGTCGAAATCGATCAATTCAGCCTTGCAGATGAGGTCCCACGACGAAGTGACTTTGAACAAGACGTGCAAGCAGCAGCATTGTCTCGACCTGCTCCGCGCAAAGCTTTTGCCTATGACATTGCTATCCTTAGAATTGAGAGCCTGGCACAATTTTTAGAGAGATTGGAGTCTAAATCTGTCGACGGACACTACGAGCTCGAGTTGATGGCCCATGATAAAGACAATGGAGAGCCCGCACTGCCATACCCACATTCGAGAAAACCATCGGGTAACGCAAAGTGGTTGTATGTGCCCGCCCTATGCTTTCGCCCTCTGGCGACGGGCAATTTGGCGACGACCGACGTCAGTCTTTCCAAAACTTTTCCAAGTGTTACTTCTCGACTTTGAGACGGGTGCTTTTCATTTTTGGTCTTAGAACAGCTCCTACAACGCGCCAACCCCTCTTTCTTCGCTCTATTAGACTGGGTAATCCTCGTTCCGCACTTTCGAATCAAGTTCGTTCCGTTTTAAACCGCGGTTGCTACCAGTACCGAGTAACCCTTACCCTAACCCTACTTATGCTTAAGGGTTTTTCCATTTTTGCTCCTGGCACAGCTCTTACAACGTGCCAATCCCCCTTTTTTCGCTTTGATAGACCGGGTTGCCCTTGATTCACACTCTTCAATGATGTACGTCTCGTGGTAAAGACCCGGTCGCTTCATCCTGGCACTGCGGTGTAACCCTAATCCTTAACCCTCAAATGTCTTTACGAAAGCTTTATGAGCAGACGCAATCAAGAAGAGGGTTCTTCGATTGGGCGAAATGATATGACGTCCATGGCTGTCCGGTCGTTTCGCCGACAGAGAACCACGCACTTGTCGTCTCTGAACGAGACCTTCCAGACTTGCTCGCCGGG